TTTCTTTTCTTAGGCTACGTTATCTTTTCTTCTACTTGCCCTTATTTAACGTTGATAAACCTCCTTTCATACTTAGTGCCTCTTCTTCGTCTATATACTTTTCAGCTTTGACAAGGACCTTGGCCATTGTTGCTTAAGGGTTTTCATGGATTGAGGACAACAAATCTTTGGACTGGAAGCCAAGCCCAAACATGAAGGTCATTAGGGTGAACTTGTCATCTATATTCTTAACGTTCAAGGACTCCTAGTTGAATCTTTGGACATAGCTCCTAAAAGATTCATTGGGTCCCTATTTGATGCTTAAAAGATGGTAAGATGGTTTCCGAAAATTTCGAGCCCCAATGAAGTGGGACGTGAACTATATAGAGAGTTCTCGGAAAAATGAAATTGACGCTAACTGTTGTTTGTTAAATCATGCTATTGTGGACCTCTTAAGGGTTATGGCAAAAGCTCGGCAACGGATAAGGTTAGGATCCATGGAGTTTCATCTGGTTTTTGTATGAGTTAAAGGTGCTCTATGGGGTCTTTGGTCCCGTCAAATGCCTCTATCTGTGGCATTTGGAACTTCTGGGGGTAGAGAAAAATGTAGAATTTATATAGAAAATGGAGACTTGGTTTGTTAGACCAAGGCGTCCATGGTGACAGAGGTTTTCCTTTTCACCGCTTCTTTGACATTTCCCAGCTCTTACCAGATTTCTAGAAACCTTCACTCCCAGAATTGGTTCATGTCGTCATGCTGCAATGGAGCTCTAGCCCAGCTTTGGGCCTCATCATTTGTTCATTCTTCTAGCTGTCTTCGACGGTTGTTCTCTTCGGAGTGGTTATGGTCATGGAGGTAAGTAACCCCATTAGGTGACGGAATTTGATGATCCTAAGGAGGAACATCATTTTGAGCTGGTTGTAACGGCAGCACAGAAGGCGCAAGTAGGGCCTGAGGTATATGATGCGTTTGAATCCACGCTACGAGATCTTGGTTTTGCTTCATTAGTTGCATAGTTGTCTGGTGGTACGTCTCCAACTCATTGAGAGGAGCTGAGTTTGTCGCTGAAGGGTCATTCTCAACGTTTACCATTGGGGGTGAGAGGTTTCTTGACTGGTTTTGCAGGGCCTGCGGATTCGCGTGAGACTTGCTCATATTTTGAGTGGAGACCATCAAACCAAAAAGTGCATGAAGGAAACTTAGTGAGCAGCGATGAAAATCGGTCCCACAAATGGCATCAAGCTAATAGTGCTTAAAATCTACTTACCCAATTACAAAACAATAAGCCAATGGGGATGTGGCCCAAAGGGGATGAATATATGTTTATGTGATAAAAAACGTGCTTAGTGTTGGAGGTGATACAAAGACAAAAATATGAGTGGTTCACCTCAGTCGAAGGATTAAGGCTACATCCACTATAAGAAAGACTCTTGCTCCTTGGGGGGTTGTATTGCTTGGAAAAAAAGATTGTTATTATAGAGAGTTGGGCTTGAAGCCTTTTTGCAGAGTATTTCCCTAAGTTATTGCTAGGTGATTCCTTTTCATATTTATACACAGTGGTATCATTTGTTATTTATATATCCTATCATTAGGTTTTGCGGAGGTTCCTTTCCTGACTGATTTTGTGGTCTCCTCCTTATTTGTCCTGTAGCTGATCCTGCCATCCCTGACATTTTCCTGCGCTCACCACACCTTGAACGGAATACATAAGCCCTCTCCACTGTCGATGAATATTCGTTTGTTAGGATTGTTAGGTATTGTCCCCTTGTCTCCTGTCCACGTGTCGTGGCACGACCATATGTGAACTGCCTTGTGTTGAGCTCTCAAGTCTCGAACGGATATTAGTTCCGAGCTTGATTATGCCTAGTTAACATCTACTCTGAGCTGAATTATTCTGGACTTGCATTGAGTTGGACTATGGCTCAGCTTGGGTCTGGTGAATAAGGGTTTTGGGTCATCTTCGGTGAGCCCAAATAGGAGTTTTGGGCTTGAAAATGGGTGTAGGAAAAAAGGGGATCAGACTTAAATCCATCATCATTACTATATATGTTCAATCAATTGCTATGAACCAGTAGTGCAGAATGACCTTGACAACATTTTCATTTGATTAGTTTCCATGAAAAGCAAAACTATAAACTCTTGTTGGTATCATATGGTAGTAGTATTACATCACCTTTCTATTCTTGTGTTCCCCTTAAAAATGACAATATTTTCAGCAAAATCTCATGATATTAATATCATATTCTTTCTCTCTCTATAGAAATCATTATCTCATTAAACTCCAAACATTCCTAATAAAGTTAAATTGTACATACAGGTGCTCACTTATAGATGCGTGTTTCTGCGATCTCTACTACACGAGGAACAATGTTGTGTANGACTGGAAGCCAAGCCCAAACATGAAGGTCATTAGGGTGAACTTGTCATCTATATTCTTAACGTTCAAGGACTCCTAGTTGAATCTTTGGACATAGCTCCTAAAAGATTCATTGGGTCCCTATTTGATGCTTAAAAGATGGTAAGATGGTTTCCGAAAATTTCGAGCCCCAATGAAGTGGGACGTGAACTATATAGAGAGTTCTAGGAAAAATGAAATTGACGCTAATTGTTGTTTGTTAAATCATGCTATTGTGGACCTCTTAAGGGTTATGGCAAAAGCTCGGCAACGGATAAGGTTAGGATACCCATGGAGTTTCATCTGGTTTTTGTATGAGTTAAAGGTGCTCTATGGGGTCTTTGGTCCCGTCAAATGCCTCTATCTGTGGCATTTGGAACTTCTGGGGTAGAGAAAAATGTAGAATTTATATAGCAAATGGAGACTTGGTTTGTTAGACCAAGGCATCCATGGTGACAAAGGTTTTCCTTTTCACCGTTTCTTTGACATTTCCTAGCTCTTACCAGATTTCTAGAAACCTTCATTCCCAGAATTGGTTCATGCCGTCATGCTGTAAGGGAGCTCTAGCCCAGCTTTGGGCCTCGTCATTTGTTCATTCTTTTGGCTGTCCTCGACGGTTGTTCTCTTCGGAGTGGCTATGGTCATGGAGGTAAGTAACCCCATTAGGTGACGGAAATTGATGATCCTGAGGAGGAACATCATTTTGAGCTGGTTGTAGCGGCAGCACAGAAGGCGCAAGTAGGGCCTGAGGTATATGATGCGTTTGAATCCACGCTAAGAGATCTTGGTTTTGCTTCATTAGTTGCATAGTTGTCTGGTGGTATGTCTCCAACTCATTGAGAGGAGCTGGGTTTGTCGCTGAAGGGTCATTCTCAACGTTTACCATTGGGGGTGAGAGGTTTCTTGACTGGTTTTGCAGGGCCTGCGGATTCGCGTGAGACTTGCTCATATTTTGAGTGGAGACCATCAAACCAAAAAGTGCATGAAGGAAACTTAGTGAGCAGCGATGAAAATCGGTCCCACAAATGGCATCAAGCTAATAGTGCTTAAAATCTACTTACCCAATTACAAAACAATAAGCCAATGGGGATGTGGCCCAAAGGGGATGAATATATGTTTATGTGATAAAAAACGTGCTTAGTGTTGGAGGTGATACAAAGACAAAAATATGAGTGGTTCACCTCAGTCAAAGGATTAAGGCTACATCCACTATAAGAAAGACTCTTGCTCCTTGGGGGGTTGTATTGTTTGGAAAAAAAGATTGTTATTATAGAGAGTTGGGCTTGAAGCCTTTTTGCAGAGTATTTCCCTAAGTTATTGCTAGGTGATTCCTTTTCATATTTATACACAGTGGTATCATTTGTTATTTATATATCCTATCATTAGGTTTTGCGGAGGTTCCTTTCCTGACTGATTTTGTGGTCTCCTCCTTATTTGTCCTGTAGCTGATCCTGCCATCCCTGACATTTTCCTGCGCTCACCACACCTTGAACGGAATACATAAGCCCTCTCCACTGTCGATGAATATTCGTTTGTTAGGATTGTTAGGTATTGTCCCCTTGTTTCTTGTCCACGTGTCGTGGCACGACCATATGTGAACTGCCTTGTGTTGAGCTCTCAAGTCTCGAATGGATATTAGTTCCGAGCTTGATTATGCCTAGTTAACATCTACTTTGAGCTGAATTATTCTGGACTTGCATTGAGTTGGACTATGGCCCAGCTTGGGTCTGGTGAATAAGGGTTTTGGGTCATCTTCGGTGAGCCCAAATAGGNTGGACTTGCATTGAGTTGGACTATGGCTCAGCTTGGGTCTGGTGAATAAGGGTTTTGGGTCATCTTCGGTGAGCCCAAATAGGAGTTTTGGGCTTGAAAATGGGTGTAGGAAAAAAGGGGATCAGACTTAAATCCATCATCATTACTATATATGTTCAATCAATTGCTATGAACTAGTAGTGCAGAATGACCTTGACAACATTTTCATTTGATTAGTTTCCATGAAAAGCAAAACTATAAACTCTTGTTGGTATCATATGGTAGTAGTATTACATCACCTTTCTATTCTTGTGTTCCCCTTAAAAATGACAATATTTTCAGCAAAATCTCATGATATTAATATCATATTCTTTCTCTCTCTATAGAAATCATTATCTCATTAAACTCCAAACATTCCTAATAAAGTTAAATTGTACATACAGGTGCTCACTTATAGATGCGTGTTTCTGCGATCTCTACTACACGAGGAACAATGTTGTGTATACTAAAATGTGTACCAAAAAATATTTAAACCAAATGAGTTGGCTGTTTTTATGTCATACCGGCGGTTCATGAGACTTACCTTTAAGTCTACTACGCTCTCAAANATTTAAACCAAATGAGTTGGCTGTTTTTATGTCATACCGGCGGTTCATGAGACTTACCTTTAAGTCTACTACGCTCTCAAAACCACTTTTACTGTGACATAGACACAATTTACACACACGCAAACTCGGCATGACGCAACTTATTAACCATCGTAGGCCCAATGTGTCATCATATATACAATTAGGTACACATAAAAAGCATTATTTTAAGGTTTGACCCTAATTTATTTAAACTCATTCTTAATTCCCCCAGCAAGCCCAACACATGGAAACAACAGCACTCACTCTCTCTCTCATTCCCCCTGTGTTTCCTCTTTTGGGTGTATGTTACAAACCATGCTCGGCAGAAACCACCATTGACCCAATGAACCAAAGACCCAAAACTAGACCTTCCAGGTCTCCCTCCCCTCCTTCAAATGCCAAAACCCTACACCTAAATTCCAAAATGGCTAAAAATTCATTCCTCAAATCAGTCATAGCCACTATTCTCTTACTCCTCGGCTTGTATGCGTTCTTCACTATTGTTGTTTATCCTTCAAATGATGAACAACATAGTCACACACTGTTTGGCTCGCAAGAAAAGATTGGGAATTCTGGGTGGAAATTGGATTCTCCTGGGACATTTCTATCTCGGCCTGTGAAGATTTACATGTATGATCTGCCGAGAAAGTTTACGTATGGTGTTATAGAGAGCTATGCGATGGCTCGTGGAGGGGAAAAGGGTCGGGTAAACGACGACGCTTTGTTGAAGTACCCGGGGAATCAGCACTCGGCCGAGTGGTACTTGTTCGCCGATTTGACTCGGCCGGACAGGGGTGCTGACTCGCCAGTGACTCGGGTTTTGGACCCCGAAGAGGCTGATTTGTTTTACGTTCCGTTCTTTTCATCCTTGAGCTTGGTGGTCAACCCGATTCGGCCCACCAATGTGGCTGTTGAGGGACCACAGTATAGTGATGACGAGATGCAGGTCTAATACTGATATTTGAATATTTTGGGATTGCAATCTATCTGTTTGTATTGATATATCAATATGAATTTCAAGCTCCTGAGTACGTCAACTTTAGTGATATTTATTGATACAGCGTTATTGACTGTTGTGTTATTATTTGGATCCAGTCAATTTCAAATTGATGAAGTTCAGTTCAATTGTCCGTCCTGAAATCTAGTACATCCCATTGATGGCTTGTCTGGATTCACTGTCATCTGGTGTGATCAATGAATATAAGCAAAGATGATTGATTGGACTTAACCAAATTGAGATGATGCACTCATGTTTTGTATAACCTGCTGTTAGATTCAAACTTTTTAGCTTCCCTGCATTTCCATTTTAATAATTTTCTTCGATATATACACATTTTTGGGATGACAATAAAACTTTTATCTGTATATGATTTTGTATATTAGTGCTCTCTCTGATTTGACACATTTGTGCTGTGAGAGTTGGATATATTTCTGTCAAGAAATGTATTGGCCAGTGCTAATACATTTGTGTTCTTAAGTCCTCAATACGCCATTTTGACATTTTAGTTGATATACTTCTTGATATGTTCATAGTTTATGCACTCAGTATTCTTAGCTTAGCATAGTTTTTGACATATTTGGTGATTAAGTTTCAACTTGATATGCCATTACCACGAGATTTATTGATACTTCTATATTTCTGACATTTGATATGTTCTTATTGACACATACTATTTGGTGGTGATGCAGGAAAATTTGATTGAGTGGTTGGGGGAGCAGGTGTATTGGAAGAGGAATAATGGGTGGGATCATGTATTTATATGTCAGGATCCGAATGCGTTGTACAAGATTGTTGATCGGGTGAAAAATGGCGTGTTTCTGGTTTCGGATTTTGGAAGGTTGGGTCGTGATCAGGCATCGTTGGTGAAGGATGTGATCTTGCCGTATTCGCATCGGATTAATACGTTTCATGGCGGTGTAGGTGTCGAAAATCGGAAGTCATTATTGTTCTTTATGGGAAACCGATATCGAAAGGAGGTAATTTTTGGCTATTTTTGGTTTTGTCTACAAGGGTTATCCTTTATTTTAAATTTTGGCATAAACCATTTCTTGGCCTTAAGTCAAATAATTGTTGCAGAATCAAAGTCTGCAGACTAATATTTGCATATTATGCATTTTGTTGACAGTTGAACTCATCCTTACAATTGGCATGTGGATACGTTCTGTAGGACCTAAATTTAATCATCATTGTAAAGTCAAACATGGCTATTAGGGTTGAATGTGGACACGTTGTCTATTGATGTCTTTTTTTGAACCTTTAGCATTCATTGTGCTGCTCTTTTATATTGTAAACTTATAGTTCATGTTTATATCGATGTGCATTATGAAATCATTGCCATTTTAACTTTGTTAATTTTGTCTTCAACTGATAATCTTCTGCTTTCAGCCTTCTGTAGTGTGCTTTGTTTTCTTGTAAAATTCTATAGTTTTTTATGAACTGAAAACTTGCCCCAACTGCGCTCATAATTAAAATAAAAATAACAAATTTTATAGAGTACTAAACACCAAGCATTTTAGGGACAATTGAGCTTATTCTCGCGGAGGGCATATTCTCGGTGTGAGCAAAGAGCAATTTTTTGTTTTGTTATTGAATTGGCATGTCGATATGAGCTCTTGATTCTCAAATTGGATCAACCAAATCAAGCCTATTGTCTTAAGCTTACATTAGTTTTTCTTTCATCAGCCTTATTTAAGGTGTAAAGCGAACCGAAGCGAACAGTTAAAAAAAAGTAAATATTTTAATTTAATTACTTCTAAACATCTAAGTTCTAATTTTATAAATACTAAATATTTAAATGCAAGTAAAACCATAAATATTTAAATTCAAACAAATACTAATAATATCTCAAATCTTAATAACAGTCATAACTTAAATATTTAAATTCAAATAAACACTAATAATATCTAAAATCTTAATATTTAAAAATATAAGACACACAATTCAAGCAACTAAACATTTAGTCAATGCTCCACAAATTTTAAGAAAAATTAGCATTCAGCATTACATAAAATTAGCATCAGGATTACAGAAATTCAGCATAAAGATTACAAATAATCAACATTCAGCATTACAGAAAATCAGCATTTAACATTACAAAAAATCAACACTACTATCAGCAAAATCAGCATTACAGAAAATTAGAATCACCAGAAATTAGATATACAAAATCAGCAGATATAAGCAGTACCAATGACTAGCATTCAACATTACAAAAAATCAGGACTACTCTCGTCAAAATCAACATTATAAAAAATCAGAATCACCAGAAATAAGCTATACAAAAACAGCGAAATAAGCAGTACAGAAAATAAGCAAAAGCATTACAGAATATCAGTAGATGCAAAAAAAAAAACAGAATCATCAAAAGAGAGAGGACATAATTAGTAAAAAGAGAAGCAGAATCAACAAAAAGAGGAGAAGAAGAAGAAGAAGCAGAGAAGAAGAAGCAGAACCAGAAATAGAGAAGCAGCAAAAAGAGAAGAAACATAATCAACAAAAAGAGAAGAAAGGAGAATTAGATTAGCAAAAAGAGAAGAAACATAAACAGAGAAGCAAAAACAAAGAAACAAAATCAACAAAAAGAAAAGAAACAAAATCAGCCAAAAGAGAAGAAACAGAAACAGAGAAGTAGAACTAGAATCAGAAAAAGACAAGAAGTAGAGAAGAAGCACCAGAACCAGAAGCAAAAGAGAAGAAAGAGAGAGGATACAGAACCAGAAGAAGAAGAATCAGGAGAAGAGGAGAAGAGATGAGAGAAGAAAACGTACCTCTATTGTCGAAGTAGAAGCGAGAGAAGCAGAAGTAGAAGCTGGAGAAGCAACAGGTACCGTATTTTCTGTCGAAGAAGAAGAAAAAAAAGAATTAAAAAAGTAGAAGAAGAAGAAGAGAAGAGGAGGAGAAAAATAGAGAAAAAGTAGTATCTGTGTAGTTTTTATTCTATCGAAGATGAAGACAACAACATATTAAAGTTTTTTTTTTTGTCGAAGAAGAAGAATAATTAAAAGAAAAGGAGAAATAGAGAAGTAGAGAAACATAAGAGGTAAGCAAAAGAGAAGGAGACAAACCTGTGGAGTCTACTCCACACACTAGCGAGGAAAGAGCAACAGTAGTCGTCGTCTGACCCTTTAGGCACAATTAGGATTTGGGTGTTGTATATATTGGGATAAGGGGGCAATTGGGTGTATGGGCATCTCATAATTTATTTCTAATTGCCCCAATTCAATGGTCCATAATAAAAATAAAACAATCTAATGGATCATAATTAAAGAATAAAACAACTTAAAAAATTTAACCAAGGCGCTCGATTTTCTTGCTTTTCGCTTAAGCAAGAGACGCTCTCTTTTCNTTGTCTGACCCTTTAGGCACAATTAGGATTTGGGTGTTGTATATATTGGGATAAGGGGCCAATTGGGTGTATGGGCATCTCATAATTTATTTCTAATTGCCCCAATTCAATGGTCCATAATAAAAATAAAATAAAACACCTTAAAAAATTTAACCAAGGCGCTCGATTTTCTTGCTTTTCGCTTAAGCAAGAGACGCTCTCTTTTCTCGCTTTTTGGTCACTTCAGTCATGTTTGCTTCGCCTTGGTTGTTCAAGGCGAGACAACATCACCTCGCTTCTCGCTTCTCGCCTAGGTGCTTGCCTAGGCGAGCTTTTCATAACATTGCCTTTCATACAATGGAATAATTTGATTTCTTTAACATGGAACACAATCTCTTCAATAGATTTTCTTGATTTGGTTATTGACTGGTGTTACCTATCGGTTTCTATGAAATTATGGATGTATGAGTTCATCACTACACATACAAGTGCTAGAGAAATGGCTTGCGGTTTGCCAGGATATTGATTTGTACGATGCCTTGTTGTGGACATTTATTTCTTTTGATGGAACTTGTAGATTCGGGCCCAGNTTCTCGCCTAGGTGCTTGCCTAGGCGAGCTTTTCATAACACTGCCTTTCATACAATGGAATAATTTGATTTCTATAACATGGAACACAATCTCTTCAATAGATTTTCTTGATTTGGTTATTGACTGGTGTTACCTATTGGTTTCTATGAAATTATGGATGTATGAGTTCATCACTACACATACAAGTGCTTGAGAAATGGCTTGCGGTTTGCCAGGATATTGATTTGTATGATGCCTTGTTGTGGACATTTATTTCTTTTGATGGAACTTGTAGATTCGGGCCCAGGCCCAGGATATGAATATAATGAGAGACAGGCATGCTAATATGAGCCTGAATAATAGATTAGATCTAAATTCTAAAAGAAAGGAAAATATACCATTTTTTTTTTTTGAAAATTTTAACTGTGACCTGATCCCAATATGCATGATGGAATCAAAGCGATTCCTACTCTATTGGATCTTATTTCCTAATCGTNACTAGATCTAAATTCTAAAAGAAAGGAAAAATATACCATTTTTTTTTTGAAAATTTTAACTGTGACCTGATCCCAATATGCATGATGGAATCAAAGCGATTCCTACTCTATTGGATCTTATTTCCTAATCGTTTCTTTAATTAGAGGTTGCCATGATTCCCATTGGCAGGTATTAATTTTTTTCTGTTGTTAATCAAAACAATAACCTAATTGTTATAATTTGATAGATAGTATGAATGTATCTCTTTTTTGTCTGTTGAAGTACGCTTCTATGCCCTGTTTTTGCAAGCAGAGTTAAAATTATTGCCTGATTTTTATATTTGTCTTTCTGTGCTTTAATGTTTGTGAAACTTGCGTTACTGAATGGTTGTCATATTGCACACTCTCTCTTGGTCTGTCTGTGACATGTGGGCTGTTTGTTGAAGCATTAAGTTGCTGATTTTCCTCGGATTTTAGGGAGGAAAAATTCGTGATATGCTTTTTAAAGTACTTGAGAAAGAAGAAGATGTCATTATAAAGCATGGTGCACAGTCCAGAGAGAGTCGCCGTATGGCTTCACAAGGGATGCACACCTCAAAGTTCTGTTTACATCCAGCTGGTGATACTCCTTCAGCTTGTCGACTTTTTGATGCTGTTGTGAGCTTGTGTATTCCAGTTATAGTCAGTGACTATATTGAATTGCCTTTCGAAGATGTCATAGACTACAAAAAGATTGCAATTTTTGTAGATTCCAACTCAGCTATAAAACCAGGATACTTGGTCAAATTGCTAAGGGAAATGAGCAAAGAGAGGATTTTGGAATTCCAGCTGCAGCTAGAAAAGGTACTTACAGATTACCTATTATTCCCCCTTCTCTTGTTATATGGAGAACTTTTCCTATTTATCTATCAGACATTTTACATGCTTGAGCACACACCCACTATATATATATTTGAAAAATTACTTGGTGTATGTGGAAAGAAAAATCTAAGAGTACATTCAAAGATCAAGAACTCAAAGTTCTGAATTTAAGAATGTATTTAACACTACTATTTATGAAAACATTTGTGTATGAACAATCATTGATATCATTCTATTAAAAACCCTAAACCACTTACATGTTTGATTTTGATGCAGATTTGTTGCATTCGTAAACATATAACCTTTGTTTACCCTTCCTATGAAAACAAATAACCTTTTTTTAATAGGAAACACCATTTTATTAATAACCATAGATAAATATTTACAACAATTGAGCAAAGTTGGATAAGAAGTCCTATCCAAAGACAAACCAACAAAAATCCAAGAAATAAAACAATACACATCAAAGCACCATTCGAAACAAATTGTTAACATCAGCAAGAAGCCGTCGAACTCGAAATAATTCAAAAAAGAGGGACGTACTCAAACTCTGTTGTCATGTAGGCCCCAAAAGAAGCTAAGAAATAAACCAGGTCCCATAGTCCTTCCATCAATTCCATTTTATCTTCAAATATTTGTTCGTTTCTTTTCATCCATACAATCCAAACAATGGCAAATAAAACATAATATCATAGTGTCACACCTTTCTCACCTTTGCACAGTCCTTTAATATCCAAACAAAATATCGATGAAATAGATCTCGGAGCCACCCAACAAAGCCCAACCAACTCAAATAATTTGTTCCACAACAATATTCTAATGGGATAATGAAAGAATAAATGATCCACACTTTCACTATTTCCTCTACACATAACGCACCATTATGGGCAACAACAAATATAAGGTCTCCTCTTTTGTAGCCTATCATAAGTATTAATCTAGTAAGCAATTGCTCATAGGTAAACTTGCACTTTCAATGACATCTTAACCTTGCAAATCTTCAATGACGGGTAAGAAAAAAGAATTGGGGGATCATCAGTCAAAGAATCAATGTAGGTCTTACATAACCCGATGTGTCAAAGAGCCAACATCTTTTATCCACCACATCATGATTTAAGGTGAGTAAGGAAATAAACGACACCAATTCTGATGACTCCTTATCATTTAAGTTTCTACGGCCCAAAATTCTCAGATGTCGGAGTGGAATGGGACCTTATCAGAGAATCAATACTATGGCCATGATAACAAGAAAGTCGAAATGTTCGAGGAAATGACCTTGGAAATCTACAACTCCCCAAATCAAATATTCATCTCAACAAAGCCTTATCCCAATATTTTTGGAGTTGTTTGCATGACTTATGTTTCGCCATTGTGTTCTATTAATGACCATGTTTCGGTTAGACCATAAGTTATTATATTACTCTTTCTCACCAGTGCTATAGCAGACCATATATATATATATACACACACACGTATATGTCCAAACCACCTGAGTTTATTCTTCCTTAATTTATCTTCTATTTGTGCTATATCCTCCAAAAATCAAACTCCCATTCTATTGCCCAACGTGAAGTTAACCTTTTGAGAGATGCAAGGTAATTCCAAGGTTTCGGTAGTTTCCCCCATCAATCCTATTATCATCTCACCTATTAGCTTGCAAGCCATACTTGCTTTTAAAAATCGAATGCCATAGTGAATTATGCTTCAAGGAAAATCTCCAAAGCCATTTTTTAAACAAAACCACATTTTTATGTATCAAGTTTCCATTAAAAGACCTCCTTTTGATTTTGGCCTAGTCACTACCTCCCAATAAACCAAATGATCCTCTCTACCCTCACTGACTTCACACAAAAATTCTCTCATCATCCCCTCATTTCTATTTATTATCCCATAAGACATCTTAAAAAGAGACATAAAATAAATTGGATTACTTGACAACACTCCCTGAACCAGAGGTAAACTTCCCTCCCTTGAGTTTTAGGCTTTCTTCTATCCATTCGACCTTTTCCTAANATTCTCTCATCATCCCCTCATTTCTATTTATTATCCCATAAGACATCTTAAAAAGAGACATAAAATAAATAGGATTACTTGACAACACTCCCTGAACCAGAGTTAAACTTCCCTCCCTTGAGTTTTAGGCTTTCTTCTATCCATTCGACCTTTTCCTAACCTTTTGAATGACCGGATCACAAAAAGACATAGATAATGGATTATCACCTAAAGGAAGACTCAAGTCTTTTTCATCCGTCGAGTGCAGATGTTCTTACATTTCTTCTTTCTCTCTAAATATTTGGAATAGACTTTTTGCGATATTTCGAATTCCTTTGGTGTTTCCAAGAAGTTGGGGATTGTTATTTATTTATTAATTTGAGGGTTTTGGTTATAGTAGTAAAGCCAAGGTTCTATGTAATTGTGAAGTANACTTCGAATTCCTTTGGTGTTTCCAAGAAGTTGGGGCTTGTTATTTATTTATGAATTTGAGGGTTTTGGTTATAGTAGTAAAGCCAAGGTTCTATGTAATTGTGAAGTATTGACTTTGTTTTGGGTGGTATGGTTGAAAAGGAATGGGAGGATCTTCAATGACAGAGAGTCTACATGGGAAAATTTATGTAAAATGTCTTTCTTGGCTTCTCTTTGGGCTTCAATGTCGAAGGATTTTGAATTAATGTTTGTTGTTATTCTTGATAATCTTTGGACTGTTTTCATTTACTTTGATTTTCAGTTTGTTTTTCTTTTTGTTTTTCATGTCTCTTAGAGGAGTTCTTGTCCTCTCATGAACTTCTTTTGCTCAGTATAATTGATATTGTTGCCTTTCAGAATTAAACAATACATAGCCCACATCTTAGAGGAATGATGGGCTTGTATTTTGGCATACTCAATAATGCCAGCAATAAGTTCCAAACTAGAAAGATATTACTATTAAAACTATGGGTATGTTTAGTTAGACAATCAGGAGTACTAGTACTTGGTTCTTATTATAAGGACATTTGATGCGGTTTGAGATGTTGAAGAAGAGACATATTTAAAGACATGACAAACTATGGAATTTGATTTGCAATCAAAACAAAAACTCGCATAGAACCTTGCATAAACATAATTAAGTCTTATTTTTAGTTACTTTGGGTTGGTGTGTAGGTATTAGTATTTTATATGTTATTTTTTTAAGTTTTATGGTATTTTTGTAGTATCTAGATTTGCTAGAATGGGGTCTATCTTTGGGTAAAACAATGATATTGGGGTTTAAGGTTTTAGAGTTTAAAGTCCCAATTATAGTTTATCTTGGTTTCCTAAACTATATAATTAGGAGTTTTTGTAGTTCTAATCTTTTTAGGATTAGGAAATACTTGGTGGTCTATATATAGAGATTTATTGGTTCAATTTAACAGATGGAGAGAATATTTATTAGAAATTTTCAGCAATAAATATATGTTGTGAGCATTGTGTGATGCAATTCAAAACCCTGGATGTGATGCTTATGGAACTTTGGGAGTGATTTCTATTTTTCTTCTTCCTTCCTAAATTTCGTGCATGGAAATACTTACCGAACAAATCTATGTTGGTTTTCTTTCGATCCCATGTAACTCTATTCAACAAATCCAACCTTTTCCTTCAACAAGACTTGAAGCCCAGTACTTTTGAAACCTGAAACTCATTTTTTTACGTGCACAGTACCATTCACAGTCTCTATACAA